CCACGCATATGTGTATTTTTCTGTGGGGATGGGAAGAGCATAAAATACATCCCAAAGGGACTAGTCCCACCCCACCTGCAGTCAGTTCCAAATCACTGCCCTAGAACAATGGATATGGCCCGGCCATCCTGGCCTCTGGGAGCCTGAAGTTTGGGTCATAAGGCTCGGAAATGCTTTCATCTGTGCCTCGCCATCTGCCCACTCATATCAACAGAAGATCTGTGTGCTAGACACTGCACATGTTTCCTCATTGTATTCTTGAAACAGCCTGGCTTTTAGCTGTCCAAGCAGCTCTGAGCCGTCTCCCTGCACCCCCACGGGGCCTCATGCCTCCCTTGGCCGTCCAGGGCGGAAGGTAGGAGTGTGGACTCCGGACACAGACTCCAGGCTTCGAGTCCGACTGTGGCACTTAGCGTGGGACCTCGGGCAGATTACTGAACTTCTCTCTGCTCCCGTTTCTTCATAAGGTGGAGTATGTACTTAGTAGGGACAGTGTAAGACTGAGTTTATGAGGAGCGCTTACAACTGGACTGCTCGTGATGAATGCTACATGTGTCCATTGCGCCTGATTTCTGCTGCTTCTACTACAAACACTGCCAAATGCTACCACTGAACTCTTCTGTCAGCACTGCTGCTGCTGCACTGTTGCTCCCAGGAGTCACCTTCCCCAAAGACGGTGACTGGGAAGCCTCGGGTGCCCACCCCCGGCCGGGGGTGACCTCGCTCAGCATAGCTGACCGTGTTCCCTTGGGGGTTTTCATGCATTTGTCTCAACTAGATCTTTATCTCGGGGATGGGGCCGTGTACTTATTGCTGTCATTCCTGTGGAGATCCGCCTTGGGGCTCTGTCCAAAGCCCAGGCTCTGTGTCTCCTTGGTACAAAGCAGGGGGTGACGACAGGTGTTAATTTCAGCCCAGTGGACAGGAGACCCTCTGCCTGTCTCAGCTCCAGATTTGGGCTCCGCTGCCTGTGGGTGAACCTCCTGGAAGTTAGTCTCAGTTGGTGGATTCTGAAGGGCTCACCTTTTCTGGACCCATATTATCAAGCTAATGGGGTTTGCATTTAGGACTTTGGGGCAGTCAGTGGTCCTAGGTGTCTGAAGGGAAATTGGTTGGAGGTGTGATCATTGCTTATTGTATTCCACCTGAACTTGAGCCCTTTGAGGATCCAGCCCCAAGCCCAAAGTCTCTCCAACTGTGGAAGGTGAGGGCATGGCTACATTGCTCTCAGCCTTGGTGCACTGACCAGGACAGCCACCTGGGGGCACTGTAGTTACACCGGTCTGCCCATAATCTGGGTCCCAGGGCTGAGGTCCCGGGCTGAGCTCAGCGCCACAGGACAGTCCTGCCAGACAGCCGCTCTCCCCACCCCACAGGCGGGAGGCGAGCGCACAGTGCCTGGGCTTACGGCCACTCAGTGCGCAGCGAAGCTGAGATTTTAAATAGCCGTCTGGCTTCAGAGACCAAGCAGACTGTCCTGTGACCAGGTAGGACAGGAATGGACATCGATGACCCACTGAGTTTTCTAGGAGCGTAGCTCTGGGAGTCAGGAGCCCGGGGCTGAATCACAGCTCCACCAGGCTCCCAATGTTGGAGAAATGCCCAGCGGCCAGAATCTGATTTAAAAATGTGGAACCAGGTCTTTAATGTTTTAAGAGGTGTGTTTTTTATTGTGAAACACTCATTCCAAAGAGTCTAAAACATGTCTTTTTAGTTTTTGTTGTTTTTTTAAATTTTTTCTATATTGATGTTAGAGAGGAAGGGAGAGGGAGAGAGACAGAAACATCAATGAGAGAGAACATCAATTGGCCGCCTCCTGCACGCCCCCCACTGGGGATCGTTGGGCCCACAACCTGGGCACGTGCCCTGACCAGGAATTGAACCAGCGACCTCTGGGTGCATGGGTCGATGCTCAACCACTGAGCCCCACTGGCAGGGCAACCTGTCATTTTATTCACGCCAGAAGGTTGATCTGGGTCTCCGGTCTCCCGGCTGCGGGAACAGAAGCGGCCCTTTCATGTGAAAAGCGCTTACAGAGCCTTCTGGGCGTGCGGCTGACATCGGACTGCAGGTGAGGCCGTCGCCCCGCTGGGCGAGCAGAGCACCTCAGCACCAACGTGAGCTCAGCCACAGTGTACACAGGAGGGCGCCAGGGAGCTGGAGCAGTGGGGGTCCTTTGGGTCTTACTGAGCTGCAGTCGCTGCCCCGCCCCCCAAAGGGCAGGAAGAGGGGGAACCTGACAGGCTCCTGAGCAGCTCTGCTTCCTGCCACAGGTCAGCAAACGTGGTTTGTTATCGCCCCCATCAGGTCTGACTCAAATGTTCTCAGGGCTTAGGTGCTGCTTATGCCAGGAGGTGGTTTTAGGGGAGGGGAGAGAGTTTAAGTTGGACAGCATGCGGGCTCGATTTTATTTTTTTATTTATTTATTTTTTATCCTCACCGGAGGACATTTTTCCATTTTCCGTTCAGGTAGAGTGGGAGGGAGAGAGAGGAACAGAGAGAGAGAGAGAGAAACATCGACGTGAAAGGGACACATCGAGTGGTTGCCACCTGCACGACCAACAAGGGCCGGGGACAAACCGCAACCCAGGTACGCGCCCTTAGCGGGAACCGAACCCGGGTCTCTCCGGACCACAGGCCAACGCTCTAACCGCTGAGCCAAACTGGCCAGGGCTGGGCTCGATTTTAATGTCCAGGAAAGTCACAGCTCGCACTGCCTCCCCGGGGGGAAAGCGTGGGACCCAGCGTGGCAGACTTCACTCTGCGTGGGCTTGCGGACGCTCTTGGGCACAGACGCAGTGAGAAGTCTGTGTGATTTAAACATCAATCACCGGCGTTCCCTGTCACAAACTGGTACGTGTACCCTTGACCGCAGGAGGAGCAGGTGCACCGTCTGAGTGTCGTGGAAGAATAAACGGACACTTTTACGATTATGTAGGGTGGGGCAGGTCTTGGCAATATTCAAAGATAAAAATATGAGGGAAATACATTGTTACATAATTCTCTTAAACAGCAAGGTGGAAGAACCCCACAAAGAAACCTAAGGGCCAACTCAGTGGGGAATTTATAAGAGGAGGGTGTTGACCCCGTAACTTTTTATAGACAAGGAAAGAACTATTTGGTAGTGCAGGTGAAAGACACCGAGAGGCAATTTATAAGTGACTATCGAGATACTTGGCTTCTAATCAGGGGCCCATTTCAAATCAGCACCGCTGTTTCCTTAAGATACTCAGGTGAAGATTTAGAGTCTGTGGTGGCCAGGCTGTGGGGGGACAGGCCCACACTGTCCCAGAGCCCAGCAGTTCTAAGAACGTCTTCCAAGAAAATAGTATACAAAGAATTACATGCTGACATAGTTGTGTTCAACACTTGCTATCCTTAATAGACTTGGTTTCCATCAAATTTATCGAATCGTTTAACCACATTATGGAGAAAACGTGATTAAAAATGAGAAATGCCACAAGATGCCTGTGTTGAAAGTTAGAGTAAAACCAATTACACGATTCTAATATGCTGTAAGCAGCACCGATACCACTTCCAGAAGCACCTTCGTCTGTGTGAAAGCCCAGAATGCGCTTGTAAGACGGAGGGAGGGGACAAGGCAGCGAGGACGCGGGTTTGTGACCAGAACCCGACCTCCAAGAGCAGCCTGGCTCCTCCAGCCAACGACCAGGCCAAGGAGTCTCCCTCCATTCAAACGAACCCTTCGGGGTATGTCCTGCAGTCCCTGTACAGGCCGGGATGTTGACAGCACTGTCATCCCAGCCGGAGGGGAAGACAGTCCCAGACAGGGACGTTACGGAACAGGCTGCCCAGCAAGGGGCTGGGTCTCCTGCCCATGTTCTGTTCTGCTGCCTCCAGCCAGAAAAGCCTGAAGGTGGCAGTTTCCACTGGCTCCTCCGCTTGGGCTGTACACTTGTCACAGAGAGGCCGGCGGGAGGCAGGCAGGCAGGCAGGCAGGCAAAGGGAAGCGTCTAGGAGCTGGGTAGGAGCTACAGGACATCCTGGCCGTTCACAGCTAAGGATCTGTCTTCGTCTAAGGATCTTTATCTATTGACTCATTTTATCTAACACCCTTTTTGCAGAGGAAGAAACAGGGCCCCAGAAAAGTTGAGTATGTCAATAGCGCAGCTAGTAAGAGACACCAGGGCTGTAACCCAAGCGGCCTGGCTCCTGAGTCTCCGTATCGGACCGGTATCCTGAGGACTGAGCGATGGAAGAGGCTGGCGCCCTACCCAAGGCCCAGAGGGTGTCTGAAACCAAGTTCTGCCTTCCCCACCAGGTGGTTCTCTGCCTGCCAGAGGCGGAACCCTTTGCCCTCCTCACCCACATTCCCAGCCTAGGTCTGCGTGTCTGGCAAGGTCTCCGCTGCCCCGTCAGAGAGGAAGGCCATGTCTCACAGGGGCAGACAGGGCGGCAGCCCAGCCAGGTGGCTGCGCTGTCCACCCCGTGCCTACTGTTCCTGCGTGGACCAGTCCTGGGGGCCGAGGGACGGCGAGGGAGGCTGGCATTCCGGAAGTAGCCCCGCATCCTTCAGTGGGAGCCTGGGGCTCAGAGCAGAACTGGGAGCAGCTCCTTCAAGTCGGGCTCAGTTCCTTTGGCCCTGGGAACTCTGGGTCCCCCTTATCCGTGACAACAGCCAAGCAGTGTGCTTGGAGGGTGCCCTGCCAGAACTCCTGTGTCTGTGGGGGGCTGACAGGCTCTCCCAGGCACGAGCCTGTCAGGGTCCCGATCCCCAGCTCCTGCAGCTCATGGCTCTGCGAGGTCGCCGTCCTCCACTCCGAGCTGCCCTGTCCTCTGCCTGGAAGGCCCCTTTCCTCACGGAGAGGCCGTCTTCCCCATGCAGGCTTGGGAGACGCCCGGCTCTCCCCAGCATTCGGAACAGAGGCACTGGAAGGAGCCTGCGGACCCCAGGGAACGCGTTCCAGGACAAGAAAGGACTCCAGTCACAAAGCTCTCCACACCCGGTCGGCGGGCTTGAAACGCTTTATTGAGCCCATTCACCCTCGGTTGCCTTCCTGGAGCCTCCGGACCTGCGCCCGACTCAGGCCCACGAAGACACCGATCCCTAGGGCCAGGGCGACAGCCACCAGCGGGAGGACCACCCAGAGGAGGAGCCTGCGGTCGGAGAGCCTGGTGGAGCCTGCAGAGAGATTTGTCGGGGTTCAGGGCGAGGCCCCTCCACACCAGGCCTGCTGGAGCTGCTGGCCCTCACCTGTCTTCGTTTTCCCCCTGAATGAGTTACACCATCTCCTGCCGTGGTCGGAGCTCCCTTGTTCTGTTAACTCGCCCGAAGGCCCTCCCACCGGCCCTGGTACCTGAGGGCCCCAGGGTCGTCTCCTTCCTGTATGCGTCCACAAAGCCCACTGGCCCGGGAGAGCTCACGATGTTCTGTGGCTGGGCAGTGTCACCGTGGCGACTCGAGGATCGGCGCTGTCCTGCCCGGGGGAGGAGCGGCATCTTGGGCTGATGTCTGGGCCCAGATGCACACAAGAATGCTGAACACCCCCACCCCTGACTCACTTGCAGTTCTAGCGCCGCAGGCGGAGGAGCAGGTCTCCAGCCCTGAGGGGGCGCAGGCAGAGGCGCTGCAAAAGAAGTAGACCTGGTGGGAGGGAAAGGTTGAGACATGGAGCTGACCCGGCCATGGGTGGCAGCTCCCGGACGGACTAGGGCCCAGGACGCAGGCGGGCGGGGAGAACCAGGGCAGGAGGGCGAGGGCTGAGCCGCCGGCAGCCCTCTGCTGATGCACAGCCGTCCGTGCTGGGTCCCGTTGGTTCCATGTGTTCTCCTTCCCCGTGACCTGGGTCCTCACGGGCGAACCCCAGCGCTTGGCCTGGGCACCCACATGGCCTCCGAGTGCAGAGCCACTTGGGAGGCCTGTCTGGCTCCCTGAGCTCATGACTGACAGAACTGAGAAGGAGGGACTTGACCAGGCCTGGCCCCCGGGGCAGAGGGCGGACAGGCTAGTACTGCCTCCACAATGCGGCCAAGGGCGGCTCCCGACAGGAGGAGAGACAGGAGCTGGCCTGAACCAGCCCCCGGGAGGACCTGTACCCAGCAGGTCCAGGTCTCAGTCAGGAAAAGGCTCACAGCGTAGGGGAGAACTAAGCCGTCCGCAGGTGCCAGTCCGTGAAGTCGTCTGCATCTGATGTGGCAACTGTGCAGCTAGTTAAGGTAGAGGTCTGTGTGCTCCTGCGAAAGCTAGGTCTGCGGTCCGGGAGAACGAGGTTACACGAGGTGGTCTGGGGGCCGTTTGTGTGTCGTGCAGAAGCCTAACTGTGCGCAGGTCTGTCCACGCCCGCCTTCTGGAGAGGGTGCTGGCTGTAAAAACTCAAAGCAGATTACGTCGAAGGGACTGCGAGGCTGCTCTCAACCCTGTGACCAGTGCTCAGGTTTGCGGGGGACTTTCCTCCCTCCCTCTTAGCTGTTTGCCCGTTGCCTCTGGGCTGACCTCCCCCAGCCGTCTGGGAACCTCTGCCTGCACCGGCTCGCAGCGTGCTGAGGGACTTGGTGACAGCAGCCTGAGGACCTGGAATGGAACTGGGCTTCTTACCGGCCCCCGGAGGGCCCTGCGGGAGCCAGAGTCCAGGAAGGCGAAGGTGGCCACCGTGAAGCGCTGGTAATGCGCCGGGAAAGGCAGCTCAGTCTTGTCTGAGACCACCATTCGGGTCCTGTAGCTGTCGCCCTCGAAAGGACACCTGGGAAGGACAGAAGTCAAGGAGGCCCTCCCCGGGGGAGGGAGGCAAGCGGCGGGAGTCCTGGGGCAGCTCCACCTGCCACCACTCACCCGTCCTCCAGGATGGGCCACTGGGGCTGCTGGACCGGGTTGGCGCTGGGGGTGGCCCAGCACCGGTGCAGCACCAGGACCAGACGGGGGTCTGTCCTCTGCAGGAGCCGGACCTCCAGGGGGACAGGCTCCAGGAGCAGCCTCACGATGGGGTAGTCCTTCTCCTCATAGTAGGAGCGGAAAGTCTCGTCTGCAGGGAGAGGGCTGGTGAGCCTCGGGGCTGGTGAGCCTGATGAGCGGGGCAGAGAGCAGGGGACACTGTACCCTTGGCGATCCGAAGCTCGAGCCGCAGCGGGCCAGGCTGGGTCACAGAGGCTGGTGAAGGGGGTGGGAAGACAGACGCCTGGAGGGGCAGGAAGTCGCTGGCATTGAAGATACAGCGAATGTGAAGCCTGAAGGTCAAGTGTGAGAGGGTGGGGGAGAGACCGTCAGCGCATCCTGCTTTCGTGATGAACCAGGCACCCCGACGTGGGTGCCGCCAACAGCCCGGTCCGGCAGGGCACCCCGATGTGGGTGCCACAAACAGCCCTGTCCGGCAGGGCATCCCGACGTGGGTGCCGCCAACAGCCCAGTCCGGCAGGGCACCCCGATGTGGGTGCCGCCAACAGCCCAGTCCGGCAGGGCACCCCGACGTGGGTGCCACAAACAGCCTGGTCCGGCAGGGCACCCCGATGTGGGTGCCACAAACAGCCCAGCCCAGCAGGGCCGAGATGGGTACCACCCGGGCCATCACCAGGGTGGCAGGCACCCCCACCCCTGGCCTCTGCCCTCCTCACCTTTGGGGCATCTCAAGCCTGGCCTGCCAGGCCCTCCTCCAGCACAGGGCTGAATGGGGTGTGGGGGCGGGGCTGATGGATGCTCCCCTTGTTCTGGAAGCTCCCTCAGAGCCTGCCAGTCAGGCCTGGCAGGCAGACCCAGGTTTGAGTCTTTTTAGTACATACTGGCCCCCACAAGCAACTGGTTTAACCTAAGCCTCAGTTTCCTCATTTCTAAAGCGGCAATAACCCCCTCCCCCTCTGAGGGCTGTGGTAGGATCAGTGAGATCACAAGGTGTTGCCCTCGTCCCTGCCACTGTAGCCAGTGTGTTCCTGGGTCCAGTGTCCCTCACTAGCCTAAGTGCCCCTGTACAGTCTTGGTAGGGCCATGCTCAGCACCCTGAGGCGTCTGCAAGAGCCGCCGACCCCACCTGACCCCACCCACCTCACCCTCAGCTGCTGAGCGCTCTACCTTTACCTCAACTTGAGCCGAGCCCCGGGTGCGAGCCTGGGCTGGGGGCCCCCGGAGGAGACAGCTGCAGAGGAGAGGGCCTGGCACACGGCAGGTGCTCACAGGCATCGGTGACTGTGCCCTGACCTGAGGCCTTCCCTCCTGGAGCCTCCCACCTGCTCCCGCTGGGCTGGAGTCAGACCCTGGCCGCTGGGTTGCAGTCCAGCTCCCTCGCTCCCAAATCCGAGGGTCTCGCACGTGACAGCTTTGTCTCCCCACTGCCATCCCCTTGCCCTTAGGTGACAGCTTTGTCTCCCCACTGCCATCCCCTTGCCCTTAGGTGACAGCTTTGTCTCCCCACTGCCATCCCCTTGCCCTTAGGTGACAGCTTTGTCTCCCCACTGCCACCCCCTTGCCCTTAGGTGACAGCTTTGTCTCCCCACTGCCATCCCCTTGCCCTTAGGTGACAGCTTTGTCTCCCCACTGCCATCCCCTTGCCCTTAGGTGACAGCTTTGTCTCCCCACTGCCATCCCCTTGCCCTTAGGTGACAGCTTTGTCTCCCCACTGCCACCCCCTTGCCCTTAGGTGACAGCTTTGTCTCCCCACTGCCACCCCCTTGCCCTTAGGTGTTTTTTTTTGTTATTTGTTTGTTTGTTTGTTTAGCAAAGGCACTTGACCCTGATGCCAGGACCTTGCCCCAGCAGTAGTGTGGGCAGAAGACACCTGGGCGTCCACTTGACCCTGATGCCAGGCCAAGAAGAGCCCCAGAGCATGATCAGGCATCAGCTCTGCTGGGCCCCGGCGCCAGCAGGTCCTGGTGGCCCCTTTCCTGGTGGGCTCCCCCTCTGCTCCCACCCCCACACCCCGAGAGCAGCCTCCGTGTCTCTGCCTGCTCTGAATTTCCACCTGCTGAGATCAGGAGGCAGAGATCTCTGCCGCCACAGCCTCGGCTCCGCCCCGGGGCCTGCAGGACACAGTGCCTCTGTGGTTGCCCAGTTTCTGAGCTTAGCTCTTGGAGGGGTAGAGGCAAGTGCTCCTGAGGACTCGGCCCTCCAGGCACTGCTGTGGGGTCTGCCCGCCGGGTGTGGGCAGACGCACGTCATGTTCGCATCAGCCCGACTGAGGGCATCCCCCTGCCCAGCTGGGACGAGCCACACTGCTGGCAGAGTGCAAGATGGACCCAGAGAGCTCCAGGCCCTGTTCTAAGCTCACCCAGGCTCCCTCACTCTCAAGCCCACGGTCCAGCCTTTTCGGGGAAGGTGCCCCCTCACCGGAAGGTGCTGTCTCGTGTGATGGAGCCCCGTGGTCCCGTTTGGACCTCAATGTCAGACACTAGCTGGTTCTCATAGATGAGCTGATTGCCAACCACCTGTGGGAAGAGACAGCTGGGTGAGGCCCTCCCAGGGGGCAGCACTGGCCCCGGCCCAGGCCCCTGTGCCTACCTGGACTGTGGTACCACAGTGGGTGAGTGGGAAGTGGAAGACCACGAAGGACCCCGTCTCCTGGGTCGGGGAGCAGCGGGTGGGGGCGTAGGCCAGGTGGACGCCGGCCAGCGTGATCCTGTGGGCCAAGGCCATTTTTCGGGAGAACACCAGGACCAAGTGGCCATTTCTGAAGCACTGGACCGTCGCTGGGACAAAGGCGGATGAAAGATGGATCAGGGCCATGGGGTTGGTGTCCACTCAGCAGACCAGGGGGACGAGCTGGTGACAGTCAGTACTGACGTGTAGCCTAGGAGTCGGGACCCCGGGCTCTCACTCGCCGCCTGGCTGTCTGCTTGAGCAAACCCTCTGCAGACCCATTCTCTCGTGCATGGAGCGAACAGCTGAACTATGTCTAGAAGACTAAGATCGCCATCTAATTTATCATCCAGCTGGGAGGTTCTCGAGCTAAGGTAGGGGAACAGGTGAAGGGAGATTGACCCCTAGTCCCCAGAACAATCTCGTCAGGCAAGCTGGGACGCGTTCTGCCATCCCTTCTGGGTCAGGCTCTCCTAGGAACAGGGTCGAGGAGAAAGCCCTCCTATCGCTTCAGGATTCGGGAGGACGGGACCCTGCGTGGCATGGAAAGTTGTACCTGTGTTGCCATAGTAACAGGGAGCATCTCTGGTGTTGTCATAGCAGCAGCCGGCCTGCTGACAGGCTTCCTTTGAACTTCTCACTGTGCAGGGGATGTGCCCCGAGTCGCCCTGACACTGCTCCGGGCTCAGGTGGGTACCTAAGGGTTGGTGACAGAGTGGTTAGGACATGAGAAGGCGCCAAGTGGGCAGCAGACTTCCAGGGAATAAAAGGGAGGTGACTTCTTGAGGCCAGCAAGGGCCATCGGCTACCTGATGCTCCAGAAGTTCCCCGACACAGGGTACATGTACACAGAAGAGTCTATATACCTATGTAGTCTGGCTTGTCAACTTCCCACGTCTCCAAGGTGCTCCTGTGGGGTTGGGCCCAGGTGGGTTGGGCCCAGGTGGGTTGGGCCCAGGTGGGTTGGGCCCAGGTGGGTTGGGCCCAGGTGGGTTGGGCCCAGGTGGGTTGGGCCCAGGTGGGTTGGGCCGGTCCAGAGCCCAGGGACGGGGAGGCAGAGGTAGGCTGGATGAAGCTGTGCTCCGTGGTGGGGTGGGGGGGATGGGTTTGCGGGGTAGACAGCGAGAATGTGGCAGACGGCACCAGCTGGCTGTCCGGAGTCGTCCAGGTGTGGTCGGGTTTGGGACACACCAGAGTAACATTCTGTGCTACGTCAACATGACCATTGGGCAGCACAGCTTCTATGAACACTCGCAGGTGGGAGCTCCCATCCTGCAGGTGAGAAGGCAGAGAGGGGAGCAGCTGGGGGAGGCCCCTCAGCATCCGATGGCCATGGACAGCCCAGCTGGGTGTTAGGCAGGGGGCTGGGTTTGTGGGCGGGTACCCAACCCTTGGTCCCCCTTGTCCACCAGCTCACTGAGTGATCTCGGGTGCCTATGTGTTCCGGTCTAGGAGGGGCCTCCCCAGACCGCCACCGTGTTGGGCCAAGCTGGCTCCCAGCATGGGACTCTCCCCCAGAGCAGGGAGGGAGTGCTCCCTACCTTCTCCAGCACGTGGCAGCCTTTGTAATCAGCAGAGAAGACTGTGGGCCCCTGGGGCGTGGCCGAAACCCAGTGGTAGCAGATGGAGCAGTTGTTCACGTCAAATTGGTTCCCAAATTCATCTGGGACAGGGGAGAGCAGAGAGGAAGAGGGGAGGGGTCAGGGAGGCTGAAGGGTGAAGCTAGAGGCCGCTGGGATCTGCTGAGAAGACTCCCCACTCAGGAGCAGGAGGCTAGGGTTCCAGCCTTAGCTTTGCTATTCACTTGCTGTGTGGTCTCAGGCAAACCCCTTCCCTCTCTGGTCTGTTTCCACAGCTGTGAGGGCATGGGTGGCTTCAGCTGGTCCTCTTTCTAGTTCGGGTTCCCTGTTGAAAGCCTTCAGCAGCAGACAGGGACGGAAATGTGGTGGAGAAATAAGTAGGTCTCGGGCACTGGGCTGAGTATTTTACATCGGTTCTCAAACAGCGATTCGCACTCTGGGGATGCGGCAGCTGAGGCACAGAGAGTAAGTGAGCTTTCCCAGGCGCACACAAGGGGGCGAAACGAGGATTCAAACCTGGGGTTTTGTAGAAAGAGCCGAGTCCGTTTGCCAGGTGAAACGGCTTTTGCAATCACTTCACTTGGGGACACCTGCTAGGTGTTCACCTACCTGGTCAGCCCAGAACAGCCAGGACACGCTCTGGGTGTGGGCATGTCCCCTGCACTTCTGTTCATGGCAAGTTTGGGGTCATCTTGCCCATCTCACAGATAGGGAATGGGGGCTCAGAGCGGTCAGATGGTTGTTCACAATCACACCGCTTAGAAGCTGCAGCTGCAAATCCCGATTCGAAACCCCGTCCCTTTCCTCTGTACCGGCCACACCCGGCCACCGAGAGTGGTGCGTGGACCAGCAGCCTGGGCCTCAGCTGCGTGTGGTCGCCAGTGCAGAGCCTGGCCGGGTGAGTGTGCACACGGACTGACACGGGACGAGCTGTCTGGGGGGCCAGGGAAACTGAGGCTGGGAACCAGCCTTCCTCCCTCCTCCCTATGTGGTAGGGTTGGGGGCCACGACCCTCGGCTGGAGGGAGGCCCTACTCTTCCTGTTCCAGGGAAAGGACCCTAGCCCCCCACTGTAGCCCAGGATGGCGGGGTCTGGGATTCAGCGGCCACTCACCCATCACCTTGAATCGAATAGTCTGGCCTTCCCCCGGGAACACGAGCAACTGCATGCCCTTGACCCCACAGTCATAGCTGTGCCACAGGCCTGGGGGCCCGGGCTCGGGGTGCAGACGCTGACCCAGCCCCCGAGGGGCCAGCAGCAGCAGTAGCAGGGCCACACAGCAACCCCAGGCCAAGGCCCCCGCCATCAGAAACACCGCGGACCCCACGATAGGGCCTCCCCGCGTGGGACTCATATAGGACTTATATAGGGAAGGTGGCAGGTGGGAACTCTAGAGGCAAAGGGGGCCCACCTGGAGGGGTGCCTACTTGGCTGCCAGGGGCTCTGGTGAAATTCCTGCCCTGAAGGCCGGGGAAGGTGCCCTCCCAGCCCCGAGCCCCGAGCCCTGCGTTAATGCTCCTGAAGCTGCCCTCACCCTGGCTCTGCCTCTGCAGCTGGGGCTGGGGCTGGGCTGTCTCAGCTGAGTGACCCTGGCTGGAGGAGGGCACCCTCTAGGCCAGGTGACAGGGCAGGTGGGCTGCAGGGCCAGGTCCCCGCGGGAGGCAGCCCTGCAGGCGCAGGCGCAGCGCCCTCCTCTCCCCCTCCCTGCCCAGCCAGGCTCTCCAGGGCCTCCCACCTGGCCTGCGTGGAGCCGGGGGCGGCGGTGGGGGGCAGCGGGCCAGCTTGGTCCTCACCCCAGTCCTCAGGCCAGCAGAACAAGCCCGAGACAAGGCCCTTCCCTGGCAGCCTGCAGCCGGACGGGGCAGCAGGTGTGAGAGTGAAGGCAACTAGCACGACCAGGTTCTCACTGACGGAAACTACCAGCCGTGGGTGACTGATGTGACCTGGCCTCCTGGGGCAGGAAAGGGACAGGAGGCACACGCCCCGGAAATGGACTCGAGCTGCTAACGATGGATCGACCTCGGCTCACTGACTTGTGAACGTGCCATCCTCACGTGAGGTCACCTGCAGGGGAGACCAGCTGCTGGACGCACGGGGTCTCTGTGCTGACCTCTCAGCAGTTCCGGAAACCCAGAACAGTTCCAAGAAATAACGTTCGTTTAAGATCAACAGGAAGACGGCTGGCTGGCATGCCGGGCACAGCCACCTGTGCCTGGTTCGGCACAGCCCTGGTCCCTGGCAGCCCGTGGCCGGGCCGGCAGCGTCCCACTCAGGAACGCTAGTGCCCGTGGTTAGGGTAATCCAAAGCAGCGGGAGGGCACCCGGCTGGGGGCCAGGGCTCTGGGTCCAGTCAGCTTCCAGCCGTGACCCGGCGGACACATCGGTTCCTGTTAGTGACCTGGGGCGGATAATGCCTAACTACCTTGGGGCATGATGTGGTAAGGCAGCGATGGGCCAACGTCTTATCTCACAGCGCACAGAAACTGCGGCACACCCCAAAATGTACTTTTTGCCCATCGGACAGGAAAAAAAAAAAAAAGGTATAATTTTGATTCATTCACACTGGCTGGCTACTGTTGCGTTGGCTGTTGCTTTTCTACTTGACAATCCAAGAAAAGAGCTCAGTCCCCTGACTAAGTAGGCAGGGATTGCCTGTTTTAAAACTTCTTGTGCCACCTCCCGGCTGGAGCTCAGTCAGTCGGAGCATCATCCCATACACCAGGAGGTGGCAGGTTCGATTCCTGGTCAGGGCACATACCCCGGTTTGGGGTTAGATCCTTGGTCAGGGTGCAGCAACTGATCGATGTTTCTCTCTCTCTCTCTCTCCCTTCCTCTATCTAAAATACATTTTAAAAAATGTTATGCCTTTAAATAAAAATTCTTGCATCACACGGGTTGAAAATCTCTGTGGCAATGATTTAATGCTCAGATAGGGAAGTGAGGTGGGTGGGCAGTGGGAACAGAGCAGCTGGGGCATGGGCTGGCAGCGGGGGTGGGTGGGGTGAAGTGTTTGTGGAGGAAGCGGTGGGCACAGGGGTGGGTTGGGGGACACTGTGTTGAGGCAGAGGGGACTGGGCAGTGAGGACATAGACCAGAAGCGGTGGGCTTCAGCCAGCCGGGGTTCCTGAGAGGGAGGAGCTGGGCCGGGACTGAGCAGCTGTGGCTGGAGGAGAAAGGGGCTGTTGAGGTGGGTTTTTCCTGAGGGGCCAGGGGGTTTACAAATTTTTATTTTGAAATAATTTTAGACTTACTGCAAAGGATTTCCACCTGCCCTTTGCCCTCAAACATTCATTGCTACCTTCTTTTTACATTAAAAGAAATGTATTGTTGACCGTATCACAGATGTCCCCATTTTCCCTCTTTTTACATGGTTTTTGGCTGTCTCTCTCTGCGCGCGCACACACACGCACACGCACACGCACACGCACACCCGCTCTCCCATACCATCTGAGAGCTCTTTGTGGACATAACTGATCCCTCCTTTACTACATAAGTGTTTATTTCTTAACAACAAATGACCACAATGAAAAGATCCAAATCAGCGCTGCTATACACAACTGGGTAGTCCACGCACCTCACTCCTTAATCAATGGTTGTAATGATGGCTCCTGCAGGACGAGAGAAAGGTGTGGGTGGGTGGGTGGGTGGTTTTCCTAGGCCAGGATCCAGTCCGAGGTCAGGAGCAGGCTTCTTTAGCCCCTCCTGGGACAGGGCCCTGTCGTGCTCGCCCTCATGCCCTTGACACGTTGGATGCACGCAGGCGAGCTACCTTGCCGAGCGGCTCTCGTTTCGATGTCTCTGCAGTTTCCTCCTGATTAGATTACAGCTGGGCATTTTGAGCGTTTCTTTGGTTTGCTTGGGCTGTCACAACAAAGTACCAGAGTCTGGGGGCTTAGACAGGGGACGTGTTTTCTCCTAGGTCTGGAAGTTGGAAGTCCAAGTCTCTCTGTGTGCCCAAATTTCCTCTTCTCATAAGGACACCAGTCAGACTGCATTCGGGCCCACCCTAACGGCCTGGCTTGCACTTCATCACGTTTTTTTTAAATTCTCACCCGAGGATACTTTCCTATTTATCTTCAGATAGAGCGAGAGGGAGAGGGACATAGACACGTTGGATTGGTTGCCTCCTGCACAACCCTGACCGGCACTGGGGCCGGGGCCGCAACTCCAACTCTGGTTAAGAGGTACGCGCCCTCAACCGGAATTGAATCCTCGACTCTGTGGTCCGTGGGCTGACATTCTCACCGCTGAGCCAAACCAGCCAGGGCTAACTTCATCACCTCTGAAATACCTGTCTCCAGGTAGGGCCCCATCTGAAGTCCTGGGGGTTAGGGCTTCAACATATGCTGGGGGGGGGGGGGCACAGTCAGCCCTAACAGGCCGGATGGGCGCAGAGGTGATGCGTTCCTCTCAGTACGTCCCACCAGGAGGCTCCGTCCTGTTCCTGCCCATGTCGCTGTGAGGCGGGTCGGCCGGGTTTCTCTGCTGTCAAGGTTCTGTGCTTCTCTTTGTAAACAGTGAGTCTCTGGTGGGAGACACTGTGACCTTTCCCCGGCCCGGGATCGGGGTGTGGGCTGGGGTGGGAGGGAGGGCAGCAGCCAGAAGACTTGACAGACCTGGATTCCTCTGTGTTCCCTGCTCGGGGCTGAAAGCGTCTCCCGGGTGTGTAAAGTAGGGATGAGAAGGATCCCGGTGGGCGTGAGGTGATCTCATTCACAGAAAGGTGTTCCCTAGCTGATCCTCAACCTTACCCCTGAGCACAGCGTGTCTCCCAAGGCCCCACAAAGGCAGAGAAAGAGCAGGGAGATTCCTCGCGGCCAAAGGCGGAAGGACTTTTGAGAAAAACGGTGCTAAGCTGCCCTAGAGACGGGGAGCCCCCAGCCCCTGGCTGTGATTTCACTTTTGTCCGAAGGCTCGTGGGCGCTATAGCTTGTCAGCCCGGGAAGCACCTCAGCTCCTCCACGCACCCTCTGGAGACCTTGGAAAAATCACTCACGTAGTTGGTGACTCAATTTCCTCATCTGTGCCATGGGGTAACAATGCCTAACTTGCAGGCTGTGTGGCGATTAAGTAAAATAAGCCATGGAAAGCACGGGGACAGTCTGCAGGGAGTGATCCCTAGAACATGACGGTGATTAATTTCGTCATCTGTAAAACAGGGCTAAGAATAAGATCAATCTAAGTGGGGTGCCATGAGATTTAAGTGCTCATTAAGTGTTAATTCTCCATCCTGTCTCTTCTGCTAATAAAAACCAGGCTCAGAGGGGAGCACCGGGGAGGAAGGGGTTCCAGGCCGGGAAGACGAGGCTGAGTGGCTATGAGGATTAGATGAGCTAACACGTGAGGTGCTTAGCCTGGTACACACAGCAAGTACCCCATAAATGTTAGCTATTACTATTTGTAGTGGGTGGAGTGGTGTCCCCCCAAACCTATGTCCACATCCTAACCCCTGGAAACCGTGACCATGACCTTATTTGGAAAAGGGGCTTTGCAGAGGTAACTAGGGACTCAGATCATCCTGAATTGTCTGGGTGGGCCCTAAGTCCAATGACAAGCATCCTCAGGAGAGATGTGCAGGGAGAAGGAGGAGGCTGATTGAAAGCAGACCAAGACTGGAGAGGCCGCAGCGCCCAGAGGACGGGAGGACCCTGCCTCGGAGACCTCAGGGAGGCGCGGCCCTGCGGAGACCCGGGTTTCATAGTTCTGGCCTCAGGACCAGGAGAGAAGACGTTTCTGTTGTGGTTCTGTTATGGCAACCCTGGGATGCTCCCATGTTATTGCTGTTTCGTGAGGATTAACTGGCATATTAGTTAATAATAACAGAAAGTTGTTGGTCCCCAAGGTCGTACCTGCCGCAGGTGGGACAGGCCGAGAGGATGACGCCAAGTCACCAATAATAATGGATCCGGAGGCACTGGGACCTTTTTGGGGGCCAGTCTCCATTACTGGAGATTCATTCTGTTCAGTAAACATTCACTGGCTTCAGTGATGAGGAGATGAAACAGAGGAACAGTCTCTGTCCCCTCATGAGGGTGCAGAGCAGTTGTGTGAAAGTTACCATGGAGGGCAAAGGTAGCAGGATATCAAGGGAGGCAGAGATATAGACGGGAGGAGTGGGAGGTAGATGGAGTCTGTGGAAGGGGATCAGTAAAGACTTCCCAGAGGAGGCAACCTCTGGCCAGGGTTTTGAAGGATGAATAGGAGTCCACCAAGAGGTTGAGGGAAGACATGGTATTCTAGAGTCGAAAGCAAACAGCACAAGCAAGGGCGCAGAAACAGCTTGGCAGGAACAGGGTGTGGGGAGGTGGTGATAAACCTGACTGATGAGAGCATGTGATTAGGGAGCAGCAGAAACGAACATGGAAGCCTGGGCTGGGCCCATCACTGAGGAGCTTTTTGTCCTTGTGATGGTGGCACCAGGGAGCTCGACCTGGGCCTCCCACACGTCCTGTCAGGCTGCTCCTCTGCTGCATGTTGGCAGCGCCAGGGCCTCCTGAGTGAGGGGCTGGAGGATTCCCGGGAAGGCCTCACCTGCTTCCTGCCGTGCATTGCACTTCCTGTTTGATTGATTTCTATAGAGGCCAGAAAGGAACATGAAAACCCACTTCCTAAGGCAGGGCAGAGGGAGACAGCTGGGGAGAAACCCAGAACTGGGGGATACGCTGGCCCATTCATTCCCTTGACTATTTGTTAAACATGCCTGATGTTATGAGCATTCTCTTGGGAGCCCAGAGACACTGTGATCTCAGAAAGGGTCCTACGGGAGAAATAGGGGAGGAAAAAACACATTCCGGGCAGCAGCAACAGCACGTGCAAAGGCACCGAGGTGGGTGGCGGATGGGGGTAGCTGGGGACCAAGGGAAGCCTGCGGGGATTGGTGGGTGCTGTGCAGCATCCGAGAGGCTTGGGGAGTTTGGGCAGATCCCGCAGGCAGCAGGGAGGCAGCAGAGGTCTGTTAGGCTAGATTTCTCTGCCCTGCTGCTGAAGGTGAGGTTGATGCAGAGATTGACCCGACTTTGGCTCCCTCTGGCTGACATCAAGTTCCAAACTATGGAGAAGGCTGTACTTCAGGGACGAGGGCCTGTGCCCTGTGGGTAGCTGTGTTTTTTTCTAGTTCCTGGGGGTCACTGGACAGGGCTGGGTAGGGCTGGGGCTGAAGACCTGCCTCTCCCTGTCCCTCCAGCCAGTCATCCCAGCACTCAGAGAAGCCAGGCTGAGGAGCCTCTGTCTGCACCCTTCCCCAGCCCCGTCCAGGTCAGGCACCAGCATCCCTGGGTCCCTTCTTCCCTTAGCCTATAACCCCTCTAGGTAGGCCCAGGCTGGGCTGGCAGCTAAAACAAGGCACATCCTGCCCCGCACCCGCAGTGTGCCTGGGGAGGCCGTTCCCACGGAGGGAGCGCAGCCAAGGGGCCCACAGGAATAAACATCGCTGCCCCCTAACAGTCCTGTGCATCTGGAGTACTCTTTTGGTTTGTCTTAGTTACTTTCCTAAGTCCTTGGGGAGGGCTAGGAGATGATCATAGATAGAAAACCAGGGTTGGAGAAAGGTCAGGAGTGAGGGTTTCCGCTGCCAGAAGGGTGCAACGGGAGAGCGGAGGGCAGGGGCGGAGGAGGGAGGGTTTCGGGGAAGCAGCACCTGACAGGGCTACCCTGCGAGGTTGTGCCAGATGCACAGGGTCCTGGTGGATGCGTGCAGGGAGGGCTGTGCCCGCCCCAAGCCCGCCGCCCCAGCGCCGAGGTGTGTCTACAGGAGGGCAGAGGAGACGTTTCTTCATCCGGAGAGCAGTCTGTGCATCCAGGCCTGCACTCGGAGGCAGGGGTTGTGCAGAAAGAGTTCCTTTTAAAAGTTCATATTTTAATGGCTGTGAAGGTACTTGCCCAAGGTCACACAGCTAGGGAGGGGCAGTGCCATATCCAAATGCTGGCCGTCTGGCCCCAGAGTCCCTGGGCTTACCTGCTGCCCTACACCGCCCTCGCGGCCCTGAGGACGTCCACGGGCCAGCAGGCTGGGGTGGGGATGAAGACACTTCCCCAAAGTGGAGCAGGAACGGCCCCTCAGTTTCCAGGGAGGCTGCGTACTGTCTTTGGAAGATGGAGCCCCTCTGTGACCCAGAGGAAAAGAGACATGTCCCTAGTGCGGCTGGTTTGGGTAATCAAGGCTCTGCCTGTCCTTCCCTCTGGGGCTGCCGTGAGAAATACCCCATGACACGGCCATGGCATTTCATTCATTCTTCACTTGGGATCATGGCTTGCGGCCTGTTTATTAAGCACCAGGCCCTGTATTAAGCCTGTGCCTAAGATCCTTGTTGAGTCAGTCCCATGGGGGATACCTTAGTCTTGATACGGGGGTGCTCCCTGTGTTTCTCTCTCCCTCCCCCCACCCCCCTCACATGTTTTACTGAGTGTCTCCAAGGTGCTGGGACATCAAAGGAATGGTCCTTGACCCCCGGAGTATCGTCAGCCAAGGGGAGTAGAGGCTGAGGGAGGGAACACTTAAATGTGAAGTACAGAGTTCGCTTATCTTCGCTTAGGGCCTTGGGAATGAGAGCCGGGTGCCCCTGCCCAAGCCCACACCCACTGCTCCTCCGGAGGGAGACACGCACTTCTCGGAGCACCTACGGTGTGCCGGCGCTTTGGGAAGGAGGGCACCTCCTGGCACAGCCTGTGAGGTAGGCAGGCACTGTTGCTATTCGAAGACGCAAAAAGGGGCCCAGCCAGGGGAGTGGCTTACCCCCTGCCAGGGCTGCAGGGCCGGGAGGGGCAGCCGGGCCTAGGTGCTTCGCATGCCCGCCCGCCTTCCTGGCCGCGGAGCTCTGGGGCCCCTCACTGCTGGGCGCTGCCTGGGAGCAGCAGAGGGGCTTCTTCTCCGGAGTCCAGGGTTAGGAGAGGGCAGCCCGGGCAGTGGACAGATGGACAAGCTGTTCCTTCCTCGTGCACATCTCCTACATGCCCGTCACTCTCTCAAGCACCGCCCTCTGCCTGGCTGGGTAACTCAGTAGGTTAGAGCTTGGTCCTGATACTCCGAGGTTAAGGGTTCGATCCCTGGTCAGAAGCAACCAGTGAATGCATAAATAAGAGGGACAAGTCAATGTTTTTGTTTCTCTCTCCCTTCCCCCCTCTCTCTCTAAAATCAGTCAATCAATAAAATGATTTTTAAAAAAGCACCACCCTCTGCACACTTGGGATCACACTCCAGGGCACACACCTATCCCCCATGTGCAAAGTCTCCTTCGTGAAGGGAGGGGGCAGGGGCAGCCAGCAGTCATGTCTCTTCCCCATTAATGGAGATTAGTGTTACGTGAACACCAGTGTGATAACTCACTCTCCGGCTGTCCCCGCCTCCCCCCCCCCCCCAACACACACACACACACACACAAATACACACTCTGGGCTTGAGAGCTATTTCCTCCCTCAGCCTCACCCACTGCTGCTCCTACCCCGCGCTCCTGTGAGGCTGCTACCAGAAGCTGACTGCCTCCGGGCTGGGATCCCGAGCTCCCTCCCTCTGTGCCCAGGTAAGGGGGTGGCAGCCCAGGGGCTGTGCAGCCTTAGCCCTCTCTGGACCTGCGAGAGAAGGCATCGTTTTACCAGGGGGGAGGGCTGCTAACTGCTAGGGTGGCAGAGAGTTGGGTTTACCAAAGACAGGAGGGGACTTACTGCTCAGAGGAGGGGACCACATTTTCTTTCGCAATGACTAGGATGACAGAGCAGTCTTGGGGTAAACGACCCAAGTTTATCCAGCCAGGAAGTTGAGGAGTACCCAAGTCTCTGACTCCAAAAATTTGCATTCTCTGCCCCCAGCCCCCTGCCAGAGTAGGAGCCTAGATGCTGGGCTCCCTCCGAATCCTGGCCGCCCAGAGGCTGACTCTTCGTAGCCAGAGGACCACCTGGATGGGTCCCCAGGGTGCAGAAGGACTGTGTGCTCGGAGCATCCCCGTGGACAGGCAGCTGCTGGACTGGGGATGTTTCGGTGCAGAGAGGGGTGACACTTGTCTGTCTGCTGGGAGTGAGCCCCAGCTCCCCCTGCCGCTGAGGAATGTGGGCCGAGTTGCTTCTCCAAACCTCAGTTTCTCTTCTGAAAAATGAGGTCTCACAGGGTTACTGTGAGTTGGTTGTGCCATAAACTCTAAGGCTTAGGAAGTATGAGCATTCGCGGGGAGAACAAGCCAGAAGCTCCCTGCCCACTTGCCTGCACACCCCCAACCCAAAGGGCTCATTCACCAGGAAAACTCCAGATTGACATCCCAGGTCCTTACCCCGCACAGGAACGTGGTCCCTGGGGAAGGGGATGGTTTTCTCATCCTGGTCAACACTGTTTCCCCTGGAAAGATGGATACTGAAGATCACCCCTACTCCCTTTCCTTCTCCTTCCTCCATCATCTCTTACTTGGAGCAGAGGGAGGAAAGAAAATGAGCTGAGCGCTAAACGGTTACTCCTCTACTTGTCTGTACTGTTCGAGTGGCTTTGGGCAAGTTATTTAAACACTTGAGTCTCAGTTTTCTCATCTGAAAAATGGGACAGAGACATACTGGCACCTTTCTTGTAGAGCTGTGAGCAGGAGAGCACCCACGTAAGAAGCCTACCACAGTCCTGGCGTGCCATGGGGACCCGGGGCAGTGTGAGCTCCTCACCTGGGCTACCTGTGCCTTACCCCCTCAGCCCTCACTGATCCTGACCAGCTTCACATCAGATGGTCTCAGGTTCTTTTTTTTTAATCCTCACCCGAGGATATTTTTCTATTTATCTTCAAATAGAGTGGAAGGAGAGAGAGGGAGAGAAAGGGAGAGAGAGAGAGAAACACCAACATGAGAGGAACACATCAACTGGTTACTTCCCGTATGACCCTGACCAGGGCCGGGGTACATGCCCTTGACTGGAATCGAACCCAAGACTCATTGGTCTGTGGGCCGACGCTCTGCCGCTGAGCCAAACCAGCCAGGGTGGTCTCAGGTTCTTGATGAGGCCAGGGGCATGCACATTTGGAGTGTCTGCACATCTGCCAGGGGCTGGCTTCCCCAGCGATTCCCTGAGTAGTTGCTCAATTAATATCTGTTGAATGAGCGCTTGGTTCGTGAATGAATGAATGAACAGGCTTAGTTTTCTAGGGCGGGCAGGCAGCTGCGGCTTCCATCTAGGCAGGGAGGGTTCTTCTACAGCGCCTCCAGAGGTAGTTCCTCCTGCCCAGCTCTTCCAACTCTTATCTCAGTTCCTCTTCAACTATCAGTGGAGGGGCTGGCTCACTGTTTACAGCCAATACATGCAACCGGCCACCACTGTGTAGCAAACCACCCCAAGAGCCCCAAGGAGAATCTGCAGAGAGGCAAGCTCTAGGGGTGTTGTGGGTGGGGAAGGGGAGGCATCCCTTAAAAGCACAGACTCCTTTCATCCCCCAGGCCAGCTGAACCCTCCTGCCCTTTAGGTTAAGCCTCAACCATGCTTAAGCTCTCTGGGGACTGGGCAGAGGAGTCCTTCATGGTCTGACCTAGCTCCTATTTTCTCCATATGAACTTAGGCCATCTGCTTAATGATAATCACAATGGCACTGATGCAGTGTTACTGTCGATGCCAGGTTCCGTTCTAAATGCATGTATATGTATATGTATATGTATATGTATATGTATATGTATATGTATATGTATGTATAGGTCATGTTATGACTGATATTCATGTTGCAGAAGGTTAAATGGCTTGCCCAGGGTTGCACAGTCAGCAGGTAGGGGAGCTGGGAAGTAATTCCCCTCACCTTATGCCTTTGCTCAACTTCACTGATTCCCAGGGGCCTCATCAATTACACTCGTGAGTCAGACTCCCATCTCCTGGCCAGGGTCCCCTGTCGCCCCTGCACTGCCCACCTCAGCGCCTCTTCTCTCCATCCCAGCGCCCACCATGCTGGCCAACATCACGGCGAAGCCTCTCTGCCCTCTCCTGGAGCAGATGAGCCGCCTCGAAAGCCACAGCAACTCCAGCATCCGCTACATCGACCACGCATCGGTGGTGCTGCACGCCCTGGCCTCGCTGCTGGGCCTGGTGGAGAACGGACTCATCCTCTTCCTGGTGGGCTGCCGCATGCGCCAGACCGTGATCACCACCTGGGTGCTGCACCTGGCCCTGTCTGACCTGCTGGCCGCCGCCAGCCTGCCCTTCTTCACCTACTTCCTGGCCGTGGGCCACTCGTGGGAGCTGGGCACCACCTTCTGCAAGCTGCACTCCTCCATCTTCTTCCTCAACATGTTCGCCAGTGGCTTCCTGCTCAGCGCCATCAGCCTGGACCGCTGCCTGCGGGTGCTGCGGCCCGTGTGGGCGCTGAACCACCGCACGGTGGCAGCGGCCCACAAGGTCTGCCTGGTGCTCTGGGCCCTGGCCATGCTCAACACCGTGCCCTACTTCGTGTTCCGGGACACCATCCCGCGGCGGGACGGGCGCATTATGTGCTACTACAACCTGCTGCTCCTGAACCCTGGGCCCGACCACAACGCCACGTGCAACTCGCGCCAGACGGCCCTGGCCGTCAGCAAGTTCCTGCTGGGCTTCTTGGTGCCACTGGCCATCATCGCCTGCAGCCACGTGGCCGTGAGCACGTATCTGCACCACCGCGGCCGCCCGCGCTCGGGCCGCTTCCTGCGCCTGGTGACCGCCGTGGTGGTGGCCTTCGCGCTCTGCTGGGGGCCCTACCACGTCTTCAGCCTGCTGGAGGCGCGCTCGCACAGCGACACGGCGCTGCGGGTGCTCGTGTGGCGCGGGCAGCCCTTCGCCACCAGCCTGGCCTTCATCAACAGTGTGATCAACCCGCTGCTCTACGTGCTCACCTGCCCCGACATGCTGCGCAAGCTGCGGAGTTCGCTGCGCAGCGTGCTGGAGAGCGTGCTGGTGGACGACAGCGACCTCAGCTCCTCCAGCAGCCGCCGCCGCGCCTCCTCCACCGCCGGCCCCGCGGCCTGCGGCCCACGCCGGCCCTCGCAGCTGCTCGGCTGGCTGAACCGCGGCGCCGGGGCGCCAGCAGAGAATGGCCCGGCCGGGCCCCAGGACGAGAAGGGCCCCCTGAACCCAGCGCCGAGCACCACCTCTGGTTAGAGGCCAGGCCCGCATCGCTGTTCTCCCCCGAAGGCAAAGGCAGGCAGCGATCCAGCGCAAAAGCACCCTGAAGGCACTGTCGTTAAAATGTATATATCCCAGCCCCCAGCCCCCGCCTCCGAGAGCTTAGTCCCAAGGGCAGGGCCCGGGAACCTGCATTTTAAAGTACCCCTCATGACTCAGTGAAGCCTTTTCAGAAAGAGTTAAAGCCATCTTTGCAAACTTGACTGTGCTCGGGTCACCTAGGGTCCTGCTAAAGTGCAGTCTGATCCAGCGGGGATGGGTTTGCGGAGATCCTGCCTGTGTCCGCAGCGGCGACGGCTGTGGGGCTGCTCCACCCCCACACTGGGGAACACTGACCTTAAGAGCTTGACTCTCAAACAACGGTAGTGGGATCCACACAGGATGCATCTCCCTGGAGTTCAACTTTACCAGATGATGGGGGAGGGTATTTTTACATAAACCAGTGATGTATTTCTGGAGTAGAAAAGGGAGCAAGGTTGGGGAGCACTGCTAGTCTAACCTCTTCACTTTAGCCATTGAGGGTTAGGTTCTATTAACCCCAATTTGTTACAGATGCACAAACTGAGGTGCAGGGAGGTTAAGTAACTTCCCTGAAGTACATGATGACCACTAAGCATTGCCTGCTCAATTACTATTCAGTGAGAGAACACCGTGGCATTCCCAAAGTGACTAAAGCAGTAACTGTGGGAACCCCCATCTCTGCCCTCCTGCCCAGCATTGTTCAAAGAGCTTACAAGGTGGAAAAAACAAAGGGGTGCATGGTCAAGTGTTTGGGAAACCTAGGCTAGTCACAGTGCAGTGGGCATCTCTACTGACGGTCTTCTCAATCTAGTTCTTTAATGTGCACAGTAGCTGCCAAAATCACAGCACGTTTCCTAGCTGGCATGACACCTCTGCGTGCCTGGTGTTCCATGGGCAACGCCGGGCGTCCCAGGATTGTTGCAGCACCCACCTCCCGAGCACCCAAGCTGGGCAGTGGTCACTCCCACGTGTAGATGTGAGGGATGACTTGTATGTCTGTCGTAGCATGTCCTGCACCGTGTCTATTTCCTCTACCTGCCATGGACTCGAGGTCAAAGACTGTATTTAGCCCTGCATCCCAGGGCCTGGGAAGAGCTGGTGCCAGTCCACGTCTGGCAGATGAAACATTAGTGGAAGAGCCAGATGAGAAACTCTTAGGACGGTGGTCCAGTGCTCGTTGTGCCAGCCCCAGGCTGGGGCCCCTGAAGGCTGGGCAGGCAAGCTTACTCAGTACCAGGCAGGGCCTGGCCTGCAGCAAGTGCCCAGCAAACGAACAGACGTACAGCTGACAAAACAGACACCCCATAGTAACACCTCGCCGGGGTTGCGCCCCACCCCCTCCCCACTTTACTCAGCACCTCTGCCGCCTGACACACAGCACAGTTTACTTGTTTATTATGCTTTATGCATCAGGAGAGGTCCTCGAGAGCAGGGACTTCTGTCTGCATCCCTGGTACCTAGGATGGTGCCTGTACACAGCAGCTACTCAATAAATACTTTTGTTGCAAACTGGATGGGCACAAGTTCATCAGATCTTTGGGGCTGCTGCGGAGGATGGTATAGGACAGAGGGCTAGAGAGCAACCCCGCTCCCTGCAACCTCCCACTTTCACCTTTCCGTGTTGAAAAGTGGGTGGGGCTGGACTCAGTGGGGGTCAGTGGGGTGCAGAGGTACCCAAAGCAGCCTTTGGGGAGGTATGGGAAAGCTGCATTCCTGGCTGCTGGCCTCCTGGTCTGGGATGGACCCAGGACCTAGAGACAGAACATACACACCTGGGGGATTCGCCCTTTGGTCACCAGCTCTCGGAGGACAGAAGAACTTACTCTCCTCCATTTGAAGGCACTTGGAGAAGGAGGGGCAAAGAGAGAGGAGGGAGCTGAACCTTTTCTCTTGCCCTAGCCCCTAATCTCTGCCTGGTCCCAGGCTCCCTCTGGGCCTCTGTCTCACAAAGACCTGCCTAAGAGCCCACAAAGGCTGAGCCCCATCTGGAGCGGGGTCCCTGTTTTGGAGCCAGAGCTGGAGTGCCGGGCCCAGCAGAAGTGTGACCAGTGGCCAGAGGTGCCGTGTCTGACTGGTGGTTGGTTACAGGACTCCGGGCTGTTCTGAGCTCAGACCTTGGCTGCCGGCTGCTGGGGCGGTTGCTTCTGCAGCAGGGCCAGGGTGTCCCGCTTCTGGATGGAGCGCAGCTGCTTCTTCTTTGCCCGCTTGAGCTTGGCGGGGTTTCGGATCTGGGGGGTGTGAGGGGAGGGCATTGATGTGGCTGGAGTCTCCACCCTGTTCCCCAGGGAAAGGGAGGCCTGGGATCTCAGCAGGAGAGTGGGAGCAGGGGTGCGGAGGCATCTGGCTGCAACACCCAGCCCCCAGCAGGACACACTCACCACTTGGACTATCTCTGCCTTGCGCTCGTTCTCCAGGCGGCGTCTCAGGTTCTCAGCTCGGCGCTGTTTCTTCTCCTGGAACGCACAGGGCAGGGGTCTGGGTCTGGGGCTGAGGCAGCCGTGGTCTCAGGCCCCAGAGGAGTGAGAGCTGGCAGAACTCCCAGGGAGGGGAAGGGCCTCTTATCCTGGGTTCTGGTAGTGTGTGGGGGGAGGGCCAGGAAGGGACCATCCCTGTGCCCATGGGACAGTGGTGGGAGGTACTACTCCACCCGAGAAGGTGGGCATCTGGACAGGCAGCTGAGGACAGAGGCTTGAATGGAGCCAGGGGGACTTAGACAGGGGTGGGTCCCCACTTGGAAACTCATGTAGACAGTGGCCCCTGGTACCACCCCGCTCCATCAACTGCCAGGGGAGAAGGGGTGGGCTGGTTCCCTCATCCCGCCGGCTCTCCCCTGAAGTCCCTGTGTCCAGGTGCGGGGCTGGGAAGGGTGGAGGCTGCGGAGAAGAGGCTCTGGTTTGAATCCTGACTCTGCTGCTTTCTAAATGGGGGACCTTGGCCAAGTTGTTTAACCTCTCTGTGCTCGAACCCCCATCTTTAAAATGAGAACGATCGCATAAGTTTGTTTTGAGGAATAAATGAATGGATACATGCAGTGGGCTGCCCGGCCCTCCGGGAACATCAGGAGAGAATGCAGAGGGAGGTTGTCTTGGGAACGGGACACCCAGTGACTTTTTGGCTTTGCTGCCTGCTGTCCCTAGTGGGGCCAGGGTGGGATGTGGGCTTCAAGGCTGCTGCACGGACAGGGGCCTATCTTAGCTTTGGTAACTTCGGGGAAATGAGCGGCTTGGGCCCCTAGTGAGAAATGAGAAGCGAGACTTGGGCTCCCAGACGGGAAGGTCAGGCTGAGGACTGGGCAGGTGCACCTCTGAAGCGAACAATGAGAAGGCTGTCTTGCCCAAGAGGGAACCAGGGCCGCACAGGAAGTGAGATAAGGCCTCAGCACAAGGCAGCAGCCATACCTTCTACAGGACCTTGGCCTCTGGCTGAGCCAGGGTGACTCAAAGCAGGGGACAGATGACCGAGTGACTGGCCCATTCCCTCCCCTCAGTGGCCAGGCTGGGACCACAAGTTGGGGAAGGCATTTGATTCGTCCTGTGCCCCTGGGATCATGAGGTGAGCGACTGCCCACTGATAACCCGAGTCCTGGTGGAGCGGCCAGCGGCCACCGCCACTGCCTCGCTTTCTCTACGTGGCCTGCTGGGGCTTCCTGGAGACAAGAGGATGGCCGTGAGCCTCTTATGGGGCATTTGGCCCTGGGATGAGTATCAGGGAGAAAACTGAAGGAAAGTGTTGGCATCCACTTTGCTGATGTGTGGTAGCCACCTCTTGGAGAGTGACAGCAATACCGGGGATACGGCTTTCCAATATCTAAACCTCTCCCACCTGAGCAGGGACCCCGACCCCACCTCACTGAATATTCCTACCACCAGAGGGCCACTGGGGCCTCCTCCCCATCTTTGAGCCTTGTGTAGACCCCTGGGCTAAACTGGATATTCTATTGGCCTCACCTACCCTGTGGTCCCAGACTGTGCTTCTGCTTGTGGCCAGGCTCCCTGCATCCCTGGCGCCCTCAGGCTTCAGCCTTCCCTGGCACTTGTGCAAGCTTTCCCCTCGCCACAGGTCTATTACAGCAGACACTGGCCCTGCTTGTGAGCTCCAGGCCCAGCCTGGCCAGCTGGCCCCTCACCTGCCGGCGCCTCTCCTTCTCCTCCTCCAGGTGCCGGGCAAAGTCCTTGGTCAGCTTCCTCTCCTGCCGTTCCTTCATCTTCCGCTGCCAGGATGTGCGCAGGGGCTTGTCCTGAACCATTTGGGAGAACCTGGATGGGGGAGAGAGAACCTGGATGCTCGTGGAGTCCACAGGATGCACCCAGGCCTTCCCTTCTCTGCTGCAGACTTTTCCCCAACCCCAGCCAGAATCACCTCCCTACCTGCCTGATTGCGGGGCAGTCGCCCTCCAGGTCTGCAGAGACTCGGGGCAGAGAAGGCTCCGATCATGCTGGCTGCCATTTCTTAAGCCCTAGTTATGTGTATCTGACGTGCAGACTCTTGTTTTCTTCCTTTTACAGAGGAGCAACCAAGGCTCAGAGAAGTTAAATAATTGCCCAAGGTTCCTGAATCTGTTTGTGACCACAGAGTCCAGGCCACACAGCCTGCTGCTTTCCCCAAGCACAGTAGGCAGGGCACAAATGCCTCTGGAGACGGGGCTCACTCCCCACTAGGATGGCCGCGAACGGGAGCAGTTCTCTGTAATGATTCGGAACCTCTCTCTCCAGTAGGGACATGTGAAAATGGAGTGGGCATTGGAGGTGATCAGGGGAAGCCTTGATTTTCTGGAGTGTGACAGTGACATTATAATCACAGAAGAAAGGAGATTATCTCTGGGAGAAGGCTCACTGCAAGGTTGTAAGGGTGCGATGACATACCCAGGGTGTGTGATAAAATATCCCAGGGAAAAAAAAAGAAAGAGTAACAAATGTCAAGGAGGAAGATGAAGCTAGACCAGTAAAATGCTGACCACTGAAGCTGGTGGTGAGAACATGGGGCTCATTAAACTGTGCGTTCCCCTTCCCTGGAGGTCTCTTTCCTGGAACTATGTGAAATCTGTTTGAGTAACCCATGGGCCTTTTGCCTCAGCAGGTCCTCTCATAGTGGCCTTTTTGCTTCACCAACCAAGTTCTTAACTTCCAAAGAGGTCCTGTTCATCCACGTCCATTATATGGTGTCCTGAACTGTCACAGCAGAACAGGGGTCCTGCCCCAGCCTCTTCAGTCTTTTTTACCCTACACCTGCCCATCTTCAGGCTGGTTCTGTCCTGCTCTGTCCACTGCGCCTGCCTCTGACCCCAGCATACCTCTCACAGCTCCTTCTCCCCTTCCACAAGGGCCTGCCGCTGACCTGGCCTCCTATGCACAGGAGAATGGGGCTGCAGTGTGTCCTTCCTCCCCACCACAAAGTGGGATCTGAGGAATCTGCACGGACCAGGCAGTGGGGACATGGACACACACAAAGCCACAGGACACAGTGATGCATCTTTCTGGAGCACCACTGTGATGGTAGAAATGCTCCACATTTGTGCTGTTCAATAAAGACACCAGTATCCACACTGGCTGTTGAGCACTTGAAATATGCTTGGTTTGACTGAGCAAATGCATTTTTAACTTTAATTTTAATTCTCATCCATTTAAATTTAAATAGCCACATGGCAGTGGCTAAGGTATTGGGCCAGTGCAGTTCCAGAGCACTGATTTTACCTGGAGACTGAAGAAAGACAGGCCTGGGTTCCAAGGCTTGACTCAGCCACCTGTGTGATGCTGGGCAAGGTAGCCTCTCTGAGTCTAAGCAACTTTACATGTTAAATGGAGTTGAGAATTGTTCCCATCCCAAAGAGTGGTGGGTTAACTGAGACATTTTTGAAGAAGTACATAGCACAATGCTCTGCACAAAGTAAATGCTCAATAAACGCCACCCTTCTGAGAGAGGACACGGCACATCCACGGAGCACACTGTGCAGAAGGTGGCATTTGGCATGAACATGGAAGGTGGGGCTGCAGCCAGGCCTTTGCAGCCGTGACTGCTTTCCTCCATATCCCCCCTTTGCTGGGACACCTGCTGTAGCTGGTCTGCCTCCACTGTCTCTGGGCTCACACAATCCACTGAAGCTGCTTCCTCAAAGATCACACACATCAATTTGATAACCTTTGGGCCCTTGTCCACAGATCTGCCTGCAGCTTCTGATGGCGTTTTAATTCTAATGCAACAGCCTCCTTATTGGCTTCTCTGCTTTCACCCTAGGCCTCCTATGGTCTATTCACCCCTGGTTTCTCTACAGAGCCTCAGTGTCCTCATATGTAACATGAACAATCCTCGTACGTAAAATGAGGATACATCTATTGCTTCACAGGGTTAATGTGCAAATCAGATGCCATGATGCATGCTGGTCCCTGTTTGAAAGGCTCAAGCCCTGGCCAGTGCTTACTAAAGTGTTTAGCACTGTCCTGTATACTCAGTTTTGGTAAAACTTTTTATCACAAAGGCAAATATCTGTAACAGATAGTACTGGGTGAAGACAGACCTCACTGTTTTATCAAGTAACGGCTGGTTTACTTGCTTCTGCCCCCCTCACTAGAGAGGGGAGACAAAGGTAAATTCCTCTGGAATGAATACACAAATGAGGTGCTATAGGAGAGGTCCACAGGGACCTCAAGGAGGAATAATCATGCTGTCACCCTCCCTGGGGTCCCAGGGTATTTTACCACATTCTGATCATAATTACACGTTTGTGTGAGTTCTCTCTAACCTTGGGGCTGTCTCCAGGCTGCCCTGGTGCCCCAACACCACAGAGAACCCCACCATGCCCAGCTGCCCACCCCTCACTTCACCTCTTCTTGGAGCGGTCCTTCCACACTCGCCCCGACTTGGGCTTTCCCTTCGGGATTATAGAAACCTCCGCCTCCTCCTTCAAGTTCTTGGGCGCTGGGGCCTGGGATGAAGATCCTTTACGCTTCTTTGGCCTGAGGCCGTCTCGCACCAGCTCCTGGGCCGGAGGTGGCTTGCTCACCACGTGCTGACCCCGGGGGGAGCTAGGTGACAGGGGTGTTAGCTCCTGTGGTAGGGGTGAGGGCTCCGGACCCGGCGCTTGCTGACCAGGATAAGGCTCTGTTGATCCTGGGCCCGACTGCAGCTCCTCCTTACTCTGGGCCAACTCCACGTCCGGTTCTTCTCGGCTCCGGGAGAACTTTGACGACTCCCCACTTGGCTTTGGCTGACGTTGGGGGGATTCAGGACTCGACTCTGGCTGTCTCCGGGGACACCCTAGGCCTGGATCTTGCTGACCCTGGGGGAACCCTGAGCTCGGATCCGGCTCCCTTCGGGGAGACCCCAGGCCTGCCCCCTGCCCTAGACTGGGTGATCCGGGGCATGTCTCCGGCTGACGTCGGGGGCACTCCAGGCCGGGTTGCCGCACACGCCCAGGAGACCCGGGCTCACTCATTTCTTCTGGGTTCGACTCGAACTCTACGGGCGCTCGTTTCGCCCGCAAAGCTGAGGTGGGGCTCTCGGGAGACTCAGCCTTGAGGCCTTCCGGCTGCCGGCGGCGCCTCAGCGGTGTATCCACCGCCCGGCCTGTAAATTTCCCAAATCCGATCCCACGTGCAGTCTCTAGGTCGACCGGCGCCGTCCTATGACGTCAGGGGACGCCACGTTCGCGCCGGGCAGGCGCGGCTGTTGCCAGGGCGGCCGTGTTGGTTTTGGCCGCAGAGGCGGGGCTAGCGGCCCAGGGGGGCTGGGTTTACTAGGCGCACGCGCAGAGCGTTGTGGCGCGCTTCCCTGTGGTCGAGTCGCCTTGAGATCCCGTTTGCCTTTCCTGGAATCCCCGGGGTAGGGGCAAGAGTGTGCGGGCAGAGAACCGAAGGAGACCCATTTCCTGGAGGGAGGAGAGCTGGAAAGAGATCCAGGGAACCCGTAGGCAAGGCTGGATGAAAGCTTTGCCACTAACTCACTCCTTTGCAGTTGGGTAGAGCCCCACCCTCTTTGGGCCTCAGTTTATTTCAGGTGTATTGCGGGTGGTTTTGCACTAGGTTAGTGTATCTAGAATGACCCTGTCGGAGTACTGACTGCCCAGTGAACTTATCTGGCAGATCCTGGAGGTGGGAAATCTCAAGTCTTGAGTTATATGTTAGATGTGCACATCCTTGTCTTCTCTCACCCTGTGCTTAGGTATCAAATGTATGGCTCTCCCTTTTCTTTTTCTTTTTTTATCCTACCTGAGGACATTTTTTCATTTTTTGTTCAGATAGAGTGGGAGGGAGAGAGAGAGAGAGAGAAACATCGACATGAAAGGGACACATCGAGTGGCTGCCACCCGCACGACCAACCAGGGCCGGGGACAAACTGCAACCGAGGTACATGCCCTTAGCGGGAACCGAACCCGGGTCTCTCTGGACCGCAGGCCGACGCTCTAACCGCTGAGCCAAACTGGCCAGGGGTGGCTCTCCCTTTCAACATTTATTCGTGAAGGTGAGGTCCTGGTAAGATGCACCACTTTTGTCCGGGCCCACCTGGGCCTCAGCCATGCTGCAAAACCTCTCAGGTGCCCCTTTTGCCTCAGTTCTAGAAACAGGTTGGATGGCCTCTGAGCTTTCTTTCAGCCAAATAGTGGTTTTTGCCCCCGCTTATGAACCTGCCTCCTCCCCTGCTTTGTGTGAGAACCAGGAAGGGTTTTGGAGTCTTACACAGCCCCAGTCTTTCTTAGGAAGTACATCTTGGAAGTTGCCCAACTGTATCCCAGTGTTATTTTTAGAACTGCCTGGGAATGGCCCTCTGGGATCCCAGGACTTCTGTCCCACAGCCCCAGTGGCTTCTTTTATTTGTATTTTTAAAAAATTTATTTTTTGTTAATACTCAAATGAGGATATTTTTCCATTGATTTTTAGATAGGACAGAAGAGAGTGAGGGAGGTAGAGAGAGAGAGAAACATCGATTTGAAAGAGACACATAGATTGGTTGCCTCCTGCATGACCCTGACTGGGGTCAGGGATCAAGCCTGCAATCCAGATGCGTGCCCTTGACTGTGAATTGAACCCAAGACCCTTTGGTCTCGGGCGGACTCTCTAACCATTGAACAAAATTGGCCAGGGCCCAGTGGCTTCTTTTAGAAACCATTGCTTTTCCCGCAGAGGGGTTGTGAGAGGGCCTGGGAAGTTGTCCAAGGATGCTCAGGGGTCAGAGGAGAAAGGTCAGAACAGACATTCTGGGCCTCAGCACTGAGCACAGCTCCCACCTGCTGAGTCGCTCTGCAGTGTCAGATGGAGCCCAGCCAGTCTTGACTGCTGATCAAGAAGGAGATGAGGCTTCAGACAAGGTTCCTGGAGGATGGAAAGGTGGATTGAGAATCTCTTAACACCTCTCATTCCTTGGCTGGTGCCACACAGCATCCACGGTGCATCTTGATGAATTCAGCCTATTGAAATCATCTCCCTAAGGGTAAGGTGAAGGCATGGTTTCTCCAGTGTCCCTCCATGTTGTCAGAAATAGCTGCACCCTTGTGCTGTTATGGTGTGTTAGTCCCTGCCTTTCTGGCCCCTCGAAGAGGCTCTATCTTCAGGCTCAGTGCCCTCGTGTTCCTGGGCCTAGGAGGGCCCAGCAGGGAGGCTTTATCTCAGTCCCCTCCCAGCTGCGCAGCTCCCCACCGCAGAAGTAGCTTGCCAGTTCTCGCCAGTTCTCGCCTAGTTCTTCCAGCCCCAACTCTTGGTTCCTTAAATTCCTGCACCAGCCAGCCACTGAGAACCATGCCTAGCATGTGCTATCAGACTGTACACCACCCCACTGCCTCTGCCCTGCATCAGGTCCCCTCAGCTCCCAGCTTCCTGAGCTCCTGTCCTCAGCTGGTGGGTGGCTCTCAAATGCCCATTGGATCATATCCCAGCCCTGGTTTAAAATACTTTAGAAGGTAATCTCAGATTCCTGCCAGGGTGGTGTGAGAAGAGATGTTTTACAGACAGGGGCCCTTTGGGTGTCCCTTGAATTGTGTGTGGAGACCCATTATCAAACGAAGCATCAGGTGAACTCTGGCCCAGAACCCTCCACTCCCACCTGAGCTGTTTTCCATTGTCATAAATGGTGTGCAAGGGCCCTGGGGAGACCCCTGAATTTTTTCAGAAAAACCTGGTATAGCAGTTGCTGTTGGGACCCTGTTCTTTCTCTTTTTGTTTAATCCTCACTGAGGATATTTTTTCCATTGATTTTTACAGAGAGTGGAAAGGAGGGAGGGCGGGAGAAAGAAAGAGAGGGAGAGGGAGAGGGAGGGAGAGGGGAGGGGAGGGAGATGGGGAGAGAGACATCGATTGGTTGCCTCCTGCATGTGCCCAGACAGGGCGGAGATTGAACCTGCAACCCAGGTACACATGTACATGCCCTTGACCAGCAATTGAACCCATGATCCTTTGGTGCACAGGCTGACACTTTAACCACTGAGCAACACCAGCCAGGGCGGGACTCTGTCCTTTACACTCCTTTGTTTTCTACTGTAAACATCCCTGCCCCCTTGCCGTCAGGTTCTCTGCAGTCCCCCAGAGAACCCAGCAAGACTGAGCCTTACTTGTCTACTAAGGTAACCTGGTCATTCATGTACCCTCTTTTGGCTTCTTCCTGTACCTGCCTCACTTTCTCACTTGCAGGTGCTCACGGGGGTCATTTTGTGAACAGACTATTTGCACCTAAATCCTTGTCTCAGAGTCAGCCCTGGAGGAAGCACCTAACGCAACGGGGCAAACATTTGGTGGCCAGGCATTCTTTCAGGCACTCGGTATGTACAAACACGTCATCCTCACAACCCCGCGAAGCAGGTGCCTTGTGGTTCCTCCCATTTCGCACAGAAAGAAACTGAGGCACAGAGAGGCTGGGACACTTGTAAAGGTCACACAGCAAATAGGTGGTAGAGATAGGACCCACAGCGAGACTGCCTAACTGCAGAGCAACAACTTCTCCCTGTTATCCTGGTAAGGAAACAGGCAGAGAAAGGCTGAGGTGTTTGCCCAAACTCACGCAGCTATACATCAAAGAGCCAGGATCACACAGTTCCAGGGTCGGGATGCTCAGCGGCCCTGTGCCCCTCACGTGGGCCTCGCTCGCCCCTTCCCCACACTGACCCTGGTCTGTGCACTGGGAGGTGCTGGGTGCCACGGCGGCACGGGTGCGTACACACTGGGCAGGGCGCTGAGTCGGCAATACCGGCCTATTGATGTAACCTGAGATCTGCTGACTGAAGGAAACCCTGAGCCACAGATGACCAAAGATACGGAGCAGGTGTTCTTCTCTGAGCCACGACACAAGCTGAGGTTTTATTCAACATGGATTTTTTTTTTTTTTTTTTAACAAAGAAGTGCAATTATTACTTCCAGGAAAACAGAAATTTGTGCAGAAAACAAAAGTCATCGATCTAATGCATAGCTTTGGTAAGAAAGCTAAGAAGAGCCCTGGCCGGTTTGGCTCAGCGGTTAGAGCATCAGCCTGCGGTCCTGAGAGACCTGGGTTCAGTTCCCGCTAAGGACATGTACCTTGGTTGCAGTTTGTCCCCGGCCCTGGTCGGTCGTGCGGGTGGCAGCCACTCGATGTGTCCCTTTCACATCGATGTTTCTCTCTCTCTCTCTCTTCCTCTCTCTCCCTCCCACTCTACCTGAACAAAAAAGAAAGCTAAGAAGAGCAGTTACATAGTTATGTTAACACTGAGTATTTCACCAAAAATTTAAAGGGGAGAGTATGTTAGGGGCATAGTTTGGGATGGCAAAAGAAAGTAAATCTTTTCCATCGTGAGGAATTTATTTATATGCCTTACAAAACAAAAATCAGCAAATAGCTATATCAACATTTTTTGAGCGACAGAGGTAGATATTAAATGAATGAGTTGAAAATATATTTATAGCGGCGGCTGATATCTTACACGGTCTGGCCCTGTTTACCTCTCTGACTTCGTTTCTTTTCCATCTCCCCCCTCAGTAAAGCCACTCAAACTACAGTGGATTCTCACTAGTCCGTGGACTCAGGTCTTTGCGCTTTCATGGAATGCCTTCCCCTGGGTCCCTCCTGGGTGCCTGCTGGGTCCCCGGAGCGTGGGTGCTGGAGGGTGCTGGCCTGCACCAGGACGTGCTCCATGAGCCTCTGCCAAGTGTGTGAATGGAGGCTCATCACAACCCCAGCGCACGGATGAACGTCCCCGGTTTACTGACGAGGAAATCCAAGTCTGGGAGAGGCTGAGATGTGCTGCCCGGTGACTCAAGGAGAGGGTGCCCAGTGCAGGGACAGGGCTGGAACTCGGGGCTTCCCGACTCCACACCAGCCCTTACTTTCACACCCCCAGGCCCAGGACTGGGCTGGGGCTGAGTGCGGCTGGAGCGAGGGCAGGCCCCATGAGGTGGGGGTGTCACCAGACGGGCTGAGTGCGGCTGGAGCGAGGGCAGGCCCCATGAGGTGGGGGTGTCACCAGACGGGCTGAGTGAGGCTGGAGCGAGGGCAGGCCCCATGAGGTGGGGGTGTCACCAGACGGGCTGAGTGAGGCTGGAGCGAGGGCAGGCCCCATGAGGTGGGGGTGTCACCAGATGGGCTGAGTGCGGCTGGAGCGAGGGCAGGCCCCATGAGGTGGGGGTGTCACCAGACGGGCTGAGTGAGGCTGGAGCGAGGGCAG